CATAGTTGTCCTGAAAGAGGATGTTGCAGAAGGAGCACCCTTCTTGCAGGCGCATCCGCACTGCTGGAGGCACGCTGGCACCATGGCCTCCGCACTCGCAAAGATGCAGTATGGCGAGATCTGGAATGTCCGAGAAGATTCTGCGCACATCGTTGCACAGTCGGCTCATGTATTCTGTCCAGCGTGGCGCAGTTGGCTGCAGCTGCGCCGTTTGCAAGCCAACGTTGTAAAAGGCCAGTCGCAATGTTGCAAAGATAGGCGCTGCAGGTGCAGCCACACTGCGACGCGCAGCAGGACCGGATGTCCGCGAAGAGGTGGCAGGCGCAGCCGCAGAGGGAGCAGCGGGAGAGACACGGAGGGTCGCCATTGCGGGGGCAGAAAAGGACGGATGCGGGTGTCAAAGTGTATGACATAGTGAGGAAGAGGTACACTGTGGAGGAACTAACCGCCATGATGATACACGAGTCTTGGTGGTGGATTTTTGAAACATGTGATACATGAGTCTTGGTGGTTGATTCCTGAAACATGAAAAGCATGTATGAGCAGAGACGTTCAGAGCGAGGAGGAAAAATAAAAAAAGAACAAAGAAACCCCTTGGAAACCTTGTCTGACATGCAACCGACATGCCATGAAAACCATGCAAACCGTTCATGCAACTCAAGCGTCAGATTCAAATCAGACGGTGAGCTCGAAAAACTGAGCAGCCACACTTGATTTTCCGCCTCAGCCCGAAACAGATAGCAGTGATGTAAAACGAGACGAGGTCAGAATGGCTTGGATGCCTTCCGCGCGCACCCGCAGCGGAAAAGCGGCACGGAGGCAGACAGGATCAGCACCGGTGACTGCAGTTGACGCAGTGACATCAGGAAAGTCGGGCACGCCAGACCCCAATCTCTCCTGTGGTAGGCTGGAATGGGTGCGTGTCGTCGGTGTATTCCCCACGCGAGCGCGCAACCGCAGCTCGGAATGCATCACTGTCGTGGACCTGTGCAACCGTCTGGAGCGCCAGGTGAGTACGCATCCAATGGCGGACCCCATTCTGGGCCAGTGTGAGGGCAAGCGTTTTGTGACCAAACCATTTCTGCCAATAGAGACGCTGCAGTTGTCGCGCTTTCATTGCGGGACGCTCACCGGTGTCATAGTCGACAGCCCACTGCAGCACCATCCGATCCATTGCTTGGCACTCGGCGTCCGTGCATAGATGGTCATCGGGTCCAGCTCCCAGATATTCAACGCGAAGAACCATCGCACGATACCAGTAGCGGAGCAGTATGTCACCCAGCGCCAGATTGTCTCGCAGCTCTTGTCGCTTCAGCAGACGCAAGACCAGGTGCAAAGCCGTGTGGTCTTCTTGCTGCCGCGAGTAGTCAAACCAGGTGGAAAGATACTGTCTGCAGAAGTACGTCAGCTGCTGCGCCTGATAGAAAAGGACCGCATCGCCATAGTACTCACAAAACTCTTCCCGTGAATACCGCTCGCCATCCCAGGCCAGGGCGCTGTCAGGCATCTCTTCTGGTAGTGGTTCGTCTATATACGCGGGCACGGGCATGAAAGTACGCCCCTCCTGTTGAACGATGGCCACGGGAGGTTGCGTCAGACGCACGCCAGCGGAGCGCGCAGCCGCAACTCCATCACCACCAGTGACACTGTTACGGCTACGTGGGCTTTGGCTTCCTCTGTGGTCATCCTGCTCGTGTGCTCGGCCGCGATGCATGGAGCGCGCATCCGCAACTCCGGGGCGACGAGAAGCTTTGTGCGAACGACTTGCTTCCTGTCTCTGTGGACGAGACTCACCGCGTGCATCTGCAGCGGCGGCGGCTGGCGCATCGTGAACATCCTGTCTGCATGGCTGGCGCCTAGGACTTCTGGAGCGCGCATCCGCAACTCTCTGGGGAGAAAAAGGAGACACAGCCTCCGCCACAGACCTGTCCTTCGGCCGACGTGGAAGTGGAGAACATGAGGCAGACGCAGCGAGAGATGCCTCTTGCCCCTCGCCAGGAGCGGAGCGCGCAGCCGCAGCTCCAGGCGGGGAAGGCGATGCGGAAGTAGACGGATCAAAATCCGGAGAGGTCGTGGAATCATCTCGTTGTTGCGCCATCTTGGTCGCACACGTTCGGACACAAGGGGATCCGAAGCTGAAGCCAAGCGGCGCTATGGAAAGAAAGCGGATCCCAAGCAGCTAAAACAATGTGCCAGCGGGTTTGAACCAGCTGTCAAAAAAAAGCATGAGAGCACATATAGAAGCAGTGCGGGATTGAACCAGCGATTTAAAAAAACAGATGAGAGCACACATAGAAGCACATATATGAGAGTATACATAGGAAAAGACCCATATGAGAGCACATCAGAGCACTCATATGAGAGCACAAGTGTGACAGCACATAGAAGCACCAACCTGAGAGCACATAGGTTAAGGAAGCTCTTGGCTCGACCACTACCGTCACCCCCACCAGCAGTACCACCAGCACCGCCACCACTGATAGCAGCAACCGCCCGGCAGTGGCTTTGTTGGCCAAAGTCCAAAGTGCCACAGGAATCTCCATCAGGCTCGGCTCTTCCGTGAGAGTGACTTTGGTGTAGTGATGGAGTCGTGGTGATCCAAAAGAGCAATCCCAAAAGAGCGGTCTAAGACAGCAGTTAGGAAGGAGCGCCCGTGAACGAAGCAGCCATGAATCATGCTCAAGCACTACTTCAATACTTTGGAATGACTATAGAAGAAGGTAGCAGTCAGACAGTACGAAAGTAGAAGCGCGCCCACCCGAGCAGCGGAATTGTGCTTTTTCAAGAGCCGCGCGCAGAGAAGAAGTAGCAAAACCCTCACGGTGTCACATGAGAAAGCGAAGCCAGCTGTGCGCAAACGCAACAGCCATCCGAGTACAAGCAAGCAAAACCCTCACGACGTCACGCGAGACAGCGAAGTTAGCTGTGCGCAGCCGCAACAGCCATCCGAGCACAAGCAACATACCAAGCCCAGCAGGAAGACTGGCTGGGCGGCAGTGGAAGCACTTGGAACCGTCCGCGCGCAGCCGCTGCGAAGACGCAAAAGAAAGGTCACAGAAAGCCATCAGCGGTTGAGACGACGCTGAAACCTGGCAGTAAAGGCTTTCCGCGAAGTCACCGCAGGACCACTAGACAGAACCACAGGCTCAGCGTCGCCAGCGGCACTCTTTCCGGGATGCAACCGAACATGACATCCATCCTGCTGCCACACCTGGAAGTCCACGCGAGGGGCGTGTGTATTGGGGTCCAACTCCTCCGGGAAGGAGGCGATGCCAAAACACACCACGCCCCTGGGACCGCACGCCACGGTCTTGGACGCCTCTGGCAGGGTCGCGATGAAATCGTGCCAGGGACATGTCTCCGAATTGGAGAGCTCTTCCCAGTATCCTTCATTGGAGTGATCAGGAAACCAATGGTCATTGATCCACGCCGTCCGCTCAAGTAAAAGAGAACGCATCTCCTGTCGTGGCGCGTGGCGGCGAAGGGCGCGTGTGTGAATGGTAATCACAGCCCTTGGTTGCTTTGTCATGCAGACCAAGGCGTCGTGCGCGCTGGTAAGATCGACCACAGGGACCGAAGGATATGGTGCTGTGGACGCGTGGAAAGCCAAAGAATGCCCGTGCGCAGCCACAACGGAGTCACCCAGTTCTGCCTCGGGGGCCAGCCATGTAGACGCAGCAACAGGAGGCAGCGCCTCCTGCGCGGCGTGCGGAGCTCCGTCATGCGCCATGGGTCCAGAACGAAAGCAGGCGAGAAGCAGGTTGTCGAGCGGGTTTGAACCAGCTAGAAAGAAAGATGCGGTGCAGGTGCAGTCATGCAGGCGCCGTGCTCGTGCCAATTTTGGTATTTGTGCTCGTGAGTCGGGGTTCTTACGGTAGGAGGTAAGGCTGGGTTTAGATCAGGGTTAGCGTGTTCGTCTGGAGCATTTTGACTGGCCCGCGCGCGCAAAAGTTACTGTGTGAATTCCTCATGTCCAGTCCGACTGCGCAGGTTCGCACAAAGTGGTGGGGACGCTGTCCGCTGTTCCGGGGCGGTGCTCTCGTGCAGTGCCGTGCTCGTTTTCGGAGAGGAAGTGCATTTGGCCTGAACGCAAATCTCCTCGACCTGTCACAGTGGCAGTACCGCTTGTCCCAAGCTGGAGTGTCATGGCCCCAGAGATCTACTTAACTAGTCATGACATGTCATGACAAATTTTGCTAGAACGGCAGGCGCAAGGAATTGGACACATTGGAGCCTGGAAAACGTCATTTTACGTGGCAGGTGCAAGGCATCGGAGCCTTTGTAAATTTCGTGGCAGGCGCAATGTTTTAGAAGACTCACCTCGTTCGCAAACACAACTGAGCTGGCGTCTGCTACGAAGGCTGACGTCCTTGTGGCTACACAGGAAGCTGGAAGGGTCCAAGAACTCTTGCTTGCTTTGGGGCCTGGTGAGAACAGCCAATCAAGATGCAGGGCTGTGTTACGTGATTGGGGCGTGGCGCGGTACACTGCCCGCAGAGGTACTGAGCGTTCGTTGCATCCCGTGCATCACCATGCACCCCACAAACACGAACAAAAAAATCGCCTCCAAAACGACCTCAAAAACCTTCCCTGGCCGCCATGGGGTTCAGCAGGAGGCTCCGAGTTCAGTTAGCACTTTTGCGGGCTACCCCCCCACACCCCCTAGAAGACTCCCGTCGTTCGCAAACACAACGCAGCTGGCGTCTTCTACGAAGGCTGGCGTTCGTAACATACACTCAGGAAGTGCAAGCAACACATATTTTCTTTCAGTTGCATGCGTCAATCCAAGGTGCACGATATCCAGCGCGCAGCGGCGTGGCCGGCAATCTTTCAAGGTAGGAGAAGAAAGTCATCGGCCTCGCGCAGCCGCAGAGTAACACAGGTTCATGCAGAATGACACATGAGCAACAGATGCCTCATGGAAAGTCAAAAAAGATTCTGTAGTAAGAGAACCATGTTGCGCGCAGTCGCAGCAACAGCGGAAGGGAGACAACTATGAGCTAGCCTGTGCCCGGGGTGTCAGCTGCCGTGAACGGTACCTCCTGGGACGCCTTCACTGGACTCTCCCATGTGTCCCCTGCGGGATAGGCCGAGATGCGTGGACAAGCGATGCGGGAGGCACTCTCCGCCAATGTGTCCGTCCAGGCTGGTAGGGGATCCGACGTCTGTTGACGAGAAGCGATCAAGGCAGTCAGTTGCTCCAAACGCCGCAGACATATCATTGCAGCTTCTGCATCGCCTTCTTGCAGCAACTGCAATTGTTCCACCACATATGTGGTTTCACTTGATGTAGTGCTCAGATCGGAGATCAATGCCAGAGCGTATTGGGTTTTGGTTCCAGTCCGTGGAGGATCCAAAATGAAATCCTTCAAAGCATGTCGCTGACAATACGCCACCACAGTCACAGGGCCTGCATCTGGAGCCAAAGCGTCGCGAACATTCTTGGTCACCAACCGAATGCCATAACTGTCTGAGCCCAACGCTTCTTGCTGCGTCCGTTCTTTCGAAAGAAGCATCACCAAGGCCTTCGCACAAGTAACCCGGCGACGTTTAGCGTGGCGTTCCAAGGCACCAGTCTCCAGGTGCGCTACCACAACCTCTGGCTGCACTTGAAAAACGCCAAAACTATTCTTGGTCAATTGCGACAGCAATGCAGCCGCAAACGCGTCTCCGCTGCACGGCACATGGCTCAAGGCATGAACAACGGCCAGCACAGCCTTTGTGGGCGTCGCTTGCAGGTCCTGCTCCGAAGCTTCCACAACTAAGAAGCGCATCCGCTTCGAGGAACTCGTCGTGGAGACGCTGTCAGTCGCCTGTGTGGCACCAGAGTCATTGTCACCACGAAGTGTGACCAAGATCTTGACACTGGCAAGCAAAGGCCACGATAACAGGTCACCGCCATGCTGACTATTGAACTCCATGACGGCATTCTCGTGATCAGCTGTATCGATTTTGGCGAGCTGGCAGGCTGCCTTTTGTCGAATGGCGACTTCCAAGCTGCCGCTACAATCTCGAATCCGTGTGGACCAAAACACACGTCGTTCCACCGTGTGGTGCTCCGGTGGGTAAGGCACATGGATGTTGTTGAGTTGAAACAACTTGCCATGCAAGGCAGCTGCGTCTTGTTGGCTATACGCATCCAGCAAAGCACAAAAGGATAAAAAGCCTTCTTTGCTTGTGTAGTCCGTAGAAACCGAGGGCTGCCATTCATGCGTCAGCGTCTGCCCTGCTTCCTTCCAAATCTCGTTCTGTCTTTCGTCCTGCGCAGCCGCACGGACGGAGACAGCCACTTCACAGCGAAAGTCTTGAAAAGATGGAGTGACCTTGATTTCAGCACCACGGACTTGCACATCGAAGCCAAAGAAAGTCAACGGCTTTTCCAGATTCACCAAAGCAATAAATTCTTCCAGTTTCGCTTGTGATTCCGCGAAAATGGACGTGGTGATCTCTGCCCGATGTCCGTCTTGCACACAAGACTCGTCTCGAAGCACGATGTCCTGCGCCACACGTTGACCCTGCCGGGTGGTTACGGTACGCGGGTCTCCGCGCAGCCGCACGAGACTCGTGATATCGAAGCGTTGTCGACCATCTGTTAACTCCAGAATGTCTTTCAGACGTGTCGGTGGGCCCAGGCAAAAGTTGGGAAATTGTCCCTGTAGAACCGAATCGAAGTGAGTCTGTCGCAGATCCAGAACCACTTTCAACGGAGTGTGAATATATTCGGCTACCTCTTTCTGGAGAAAGACGACAGATTTCATTTCGAAGTGCAAACCCACCTGGAAGCGCGCAGCCGCAGCTTCCAACTCGCCAGACTTCTGTTGCCACATGACCATGCGACCAGACACATATGCACCTTCTTCCGCGCTAGCAAACAGCACGTGCAACCGCTTTCCCTTGGTCGGCGCGCCTTGCCGGGTATATGTGTACTCTTCCACCTTTTGAAACTTTACTTGGACCACAAACCGACCGTGTCGCGCGGCGGCCTGCAGTTCTGACAAAGGAGAGCGACGCCTATCTTCACCTCCGCCCGGTTTCTCGACTTTGACCGTCATAAGAGTCAACACTTGTGGGACTCACACAGGTTCAAGCCATGCATAGAACACAGCGTCCCTATGCGATGCATTAGAAATTGAGCCACAAAACCAACATCCGAGTCGAACTCCATCAAAAGGACATGAACCCGATGCAGAAAAGGTTGCAGACCTCGATCTCAGTAGACAAGAAGGTCAGAGAAGTAACAAAGCTAGAGTCACAAATGCTCTCATGACAGCTACTACCTGTAGCTAGTAAAGGTAGAGTAGAAGCCAAGAAACCACTGTAGCCAAGGCGACACCGAAGCGAAGTATTTCTTTTGATTACTTTTCCTCTCTTTGCTTCAGGTACTGGAGGTGATCTGGTGACATGAGGGTCACCATCGAAGAAGTCTGAGACATTCCTTTGCGAAGGTTTGTGTCTCGGATTCTTTGTCCGAGAACAAAACATGGAATCTGGCAGGCAAAGTATTTGGAGGTCCTTGTTCCAAGATGGCACGAATCTTATTGTCGAGACCGACAGATCGCAGACGATCCAAGGAGCGCACACGTGACAAGGCCACATATGCAGCCAACCACCTCATGTCTGCTTGGAGTCGACGAGGGAAGCGCCAATGAAAGATCAAACCAGGATCTGTCGTTGTACCTTGCAACACATGCAAAGTACTGGCTTTCACAGTCACCAACGGAATCTGCGTCCTACGAATCTTGACAGAGATCTCTTCTTCTGTACCAGTAGCAAGGGATCCAGGGATCGTCACTTTCAGCGACCAACCTTGTTGATTCGTAAATGGTCGCACCAAAAACACGCCACGCATCCGCAAGCATGCAGCACACTCGGCGTCCATGTGCGGTGTATGTTCAAGACAGGCTTCATCGGGCAGAAATTTCTGCGGCACATCTTGCAGCTCCACATAAATAGCTTCCGGAAAGCGTCGCAAAACGACGAAAGATGCATGCAAATCAGTGCGACTCCGATCCTCCGAAGCAAACGCAAAACCCCGAATGATTCCAATTGTATCTACCACCACATGAGGAGCAGCGACTGTCTGAGTGAAGCGCACTTCCATACCAACGTGATAGAGACCATAGTGAGGAAGCCGTCCGGTCTCGTTCATGTTTGGGTGCGCAACCACAGCCCGGGCGATAGCAGCAGCTTTGTCGGCCTGCAGATTTTGGATCATGTCAACAGCACGAGTGGCATACAAGGTCTTGCCCGCTGCTTTTGCTGATTCAAAACTGCGAATGGTATAGGCCATGCTAACCACAGACCAAGTGTAGCAAGCTTGGAAAAAATGCTCAGTGCCGGACAAGCGAGCGCTGTCGCCGGATCCACTGATGTTGGTATTCACCAACGCCTGCCATTCGCTCTGCGTCAACAACGCACCACCCGGAGTTCGCATTTTCCTCAGGATACATTCCAAAACTGGATCCTGGAAACGCATGGCCGTCTGCAGGCGGTACACATAACGGAATTGACCGAAGAGATGCACGCCGGCTTTATGTTCATCGCTGGTTCCATCCACACTGGCAAGCAAGGAATGCGAAAAAGGAACAGGAGGTAATTGCAGTTCATCCCCAGAAATGACGACCACCGGCATACGCCCCCAGCTCTCGTCCAATTCCGCATAACGATGAAGCTCCAGCCCCAGGGCCCTTTGCCGACCATAAGACTTCCGCAGCGCGTCCGCATGCAGCATCTGACCAATGCATTGAGAGAATTCATCGATGACGATGGCAGCCAGCGGGACAGTGTTGCATTCCAAAGCCTTCCGTGTCTCTGCGGAAACACGCAAATGCACGGTCCGCAAAGATGAATCTTTGCGCAGCTTGTTTGCGCTGTGCATGGTTCGGCCATGAATCTGACGAGCGGCTTTGTTCGAAGGCGCCTGCGCTTGCATGGAACCATCACCAAAGACTGCTTCAAACAACGGTCTTAAAACCATGTTGATGATCCGAGTCTTCCCACATCCACCGCCTCCAACCAGCAGACATCGCAACAGAACACGATCCTTGGCGAGCATACCATCGCCACTTGGCGGAAGTGATTCAAAGGCATCTTGCAGAATTTTTGCAACAATGGCGACGAAGCCAAGTTGATCGCGGTTCAAAGTGGCTCTGTCGGCCAACACTTTCGCCACCGCCGCCGGACCGCGCAGTCGCAGATCCGCCGCCACCAAGCGCACAACCGCTTCTTCTTCTGCGTGTGCAACCGCAACGGTCGCCTCCTCCGCTGCGTCATCTGCTGAATCCATTTTGCGATAGAACTCCACACGTTGTTGCTGAGCAGACAACAAAAGCTCAACGGACGCTTGTGGCATCCATCCTCCAGAGTCCTCCACGGGAAAGTGTTCATGGCAAAGTGCCACTTTTGTGTTCAATGCTTTCTCCACTTCCAACATGAAGCGCACTGCATCCGAAGTCCGGGTGCCACGCTGCTTTGCGGATTCCAACTCTGAGACATGCAGCAGATGTGCTCGCACGGCATCTGGATCCTACAGATGAATAAGCGATGTGGGTAACATATACCATTGTCATGCTGTTCCTTCTGAAGACCACGTCATGTGCATCTCATGTCTCATGACCTCTCTCTCTGTACATATATTGATGTATACGCATCAGTGTCTACATGAAACTATACGCAATTTATTCACGACAGAGGAACCATTGGACGCTTATAATATATCGATCAAGCCATGGACACAGACAAGACATCATAACATAGCAACCAACAAACCCGAAGAGGTAAAAAAGAATAAGAGTTTGAGACATAGCAGTCCTGCGGCAGGAGCGTCATGAGTTCAATGCCTCCTGCCATGGGTCGCTCCACGTTCGCTTCACCCACTCGGTCATCTTCGACAGCGTCGGGTTCACCACCGACATTTTCGATCTCGACCATGATCTGTTGATCATCCGAACGAACAGATGCGGTATCATCTTCGACACTCGCGGTCGTCTTGTCCTTGGCTATCTGAATGGCAGTGTTTCGAGCTTCTGTATGCATGTCCAAGCGGAACACCATGTCCCGTGTTCTATGCGCAACAAACTCAGCCAGATGTAACTGTTCCGCCGCGAATGTATCCGCGACTGGTGCCAAATAAGCAGAAATACAGACTACAAGCTTCTGGAAATTTTGCGTTCCGACGCAGACATGTTTGTTATGTCCATGGTACAGAGCTTGGGAAACCAAAATGTGACACCAAGTGAAACCTTTACCTTCCAGACAGCGAAACGTCGTGGTATCTGCCAGTGTGGGTAACTTCTTCGCTATGCGAATTTTCCGATCAGCTTCAGTGGCCAAAACTTCCACTTCCGCGCGTCGAAGACGCCAAGCAGGAGAGAATCGAATATCCTGAGTCTGCTGGCTACACACATAGGCTGCAGCCAAACTCACAGGGTCAGCACAGGCACCCACTCCGGGACAACGCATCAATCCAAACAGGGTCAACTTGTAGCGAGCGTTTTCTTCACCATTCCCTACGTCCGTGCGACTGCAAGCTGCGCCTACCACGCGTGGCACGGCCATACGAGGAGCCAACCGCTGCCAGTAGGTTTTTGCTTTCAGATAATGCTCATCAAAGAGGAAACAATCGCCCAACTTACCCTGTTGGCGAGGAACGATTTCAATATACGCGACATAACTGTGAAAATTCAAATCTTGTAGGAAGAATCCACGATGCAGCCAATCATCGAAGGTTGAAGCAGTGGCGCGAAACATCCGAACACCAGGTTGTTCCGGCTCCATGTCCACGCGCTCACAACACGGTGCACCCACACATGCTTCATCTCCAGTCTTCGCAACTTCAAGACATGATGCATCCACCGCAACCGCACCATCTCCTTCAACATGTTCACCACTTGCGGCTGTAGACCTCGACTCGGAAATCCGTCGTTTCTTGTCTTCGGAGTGACAACCGTCCTGTTCCAAGGAACTGCGCTCCGCAGAACGTTTGGTAGATTCTCTCGGCAATGGAACCACATGTACCACGTCCACATCAGCTGGACGAGCCGCCTCTTGCACGAAATCGCCGGCCAGTGCTCCGTTCCACAGGCGTTTGCCTTCTTCCAGCAAGTAAAAAACCTTGCTCAAAAAACAAAGGACGGTCGATGTGTGTGGCAACGCTGTGCCCACCAGTCAGGACGAAGATTGCAAGCTCACAAGAGGAAAACCAATGAGAGCGGTTGGCGCTAAACAAAATCCGCCGCAATTTGGCACGCGCTAGGTCCTCGGTGGTGCCCAAGATCTTTTTCCCTGCTGTAATCTCTGCATCCAAACGTTCCAAGCCGTGCAGAACAGGAGTAATGGCACTTGCAAGAACTTGCTGACCCTTGGCGAGATATTTGGTCATGTAGAAATCGCACACGTGCGAGCTTCGCACCCCTTCTGCCAAACATGCGAGGATACGCCGCGCATCCGCAGACAATCGAGCGTGTCCATAGAAGAACTGCACAGGCTTCAAATCGACTAGGCTGAACTCCGGCGCCTCACTTGGTACGACACGATCATTTCGTTGCAAATCCACATTACAACGTGCAAAAGCTTGACACAGGTCATTGGAAGTGGATCTGAAGGGGTGTCTGCGAACTACTTGCACGCGTCCGTATTCATTGCGAGTATTGCTGTAAAACACCCTCGCTTTCCGAACCAATTCTTTCCCTCGTCGCAGTAAACGCTTCAGCTTGTCCCCGACCTTCAGCTCCACGACACGAACAAACAAAAACCGACAATAGGAGCGAGGATCCAAAGCCTTCGTTTTCCGAGGCGCGCCTGTCTCATCTCCCATGTGTTTTGCAGCATATTTTGCACAGGTCGCGACACAGTTGTGGTCATGGTTTTGACAAAAGAGACCTCGAACATCTTTTCCAAATGCCCTTGCCCAAGCTTCTGCATCTGCACACGTATCTTCCCACTGCGCAACACGTCCAGTAGGTAACCGCAAACCAACGACCCGACGACAACCGTCCAAAACCCACGGCTGCGCATCTGATCGCAACAGCAGATGGTCCTTGCTTGGGCGCGCAACCGCAGCCGGCGGCTCTCGGAAAAGTCCCCGGTCATCTGGCTCGCATATAGTTCCAAAAGCGCCCGGCAAGCGATAGAGAGGCATGACAGATTGATGACAGCCCGTCAACGGTACATCCTTGTAACCATGTCTTGGTGGTCGCTGCTCTTGCGAAGCTTTTTCTTTTTCCAACGCAATATGTCCAGGCGGTTCGCTTTCCGTCACCTCCAAAAGCATCCGATGATCGCCGGACTCTTCTACGCCTGCACAACGGCCAAGACAGCCGATGCACAATGCATACAAGCGTTGGTTGCTCGTATACTATTATGGTGATCTGCAAAACCATCAGAATAGTTAAACCTCGTCACACAATCTACATCTCTTCATGTATCCCTTGTCCAGCTTACGTCATGTAAAAGAATCCATTACAAACACATTGAACTGAAGGACACATGCATCATGAACTCCCTCATCGGCCTCCATCTAAGCGGCTGTGTCTTTGCTGTTGTCGCGAGAAAGGTTCTGGTGGAACTGCGACGCCAAGTTGTTGAGCAGGAAGCGTTGCTGTGTCATACTGCACCACACTCACAGCGTCCACAATCTGTTGTCGCATCTGTTTCACGGCTGCTTGCATTGCGAGGCCATCCTTTGCAAACAATGTCTGCAGTTTGGCGGCAGAATCATTGGGCAGACTAGTGACCTTTTTGTGTCCATGAGCAAAGCCACGGCCCTGCGCCTCCAACGGCATCAACAAACTTTCTACAAAATCGGCAACGCCGAGAGAGGCATTGGACGCCATATGGTCATCTTTTGCCACGCGCAACCGCGACGGCATGTCAGGATCATCGAAACAATGTTGCCCGATGTATGCTGAGTGCACGCCGAGGATCTGTGTCAGAATGATTTCTTCCATAAGCAAAAACACTAGGGCCTGCGTCACTGGCGATCTGGCCACGACCCGATGCATGTGCTGTAAAGCAGGCAAAAGAGGTCGTTCTGCCAAGAGATCCCACTGAGTCTCGCACAGTCTTTCCATATTGCTTGGGTCGAACACTGTCATGGTCAAAGGCATGTAGGTATCAGCGAAATTACATGTCAAAAATAATTTGAGCGGGCCGAAGGTCATGTCCATCGCATGTCCGAAATGGCGTAGTTTCATTTTGTTCCCTTCTGTCAATGGGACTACAGCAGTGCTGGTCAGCAGATGCTTCAGCGCTTTCATGGCTGGTCCATCCCTGTTGCCAGCACTCGCATAAGCCTGACCCAGCGTGGAATATCGTTGCAGAGCCTGGAAATCCTCGGCCTTTGCCTTTGCGATTGCTTGCAGGTCTAACTGAAAAGACTTGTGACTGAGAAACGTCATTTTTGTAGCGAGAAGCAAGCTTTGACGTCGCACGGTATCCGCAAACATGGCTGTCACCTCCGCGTTGTCCCACCTGGACGTTGGCCGCGCCGCATATGGCACGGCGTCTGTTGCAAGGTGATATTCCAACTCTTCTCTTTTCAAAAGACATGCCATGAGCGCTCTTGGCGCAATCCGCACAGGTCTGCGTTGATCAAAAGGTAAGCAATCTCCGAAGAAAAATTCCGTGAAAGCCAAACACCAAGACTCGGGAAGGAACATGGACAGGAGCTGTCCCGCCCGCACTTCCAACACATTGGCATCCGGCGTCCGCGGTCCTTCCAGAAGTTGCAGTTCCGCTTCAATGCTCTGTTCATGTCTGTCGGCCAATCTACGACACACTTCCCGCAGTTCTAAAGCGTGTCCTCGACAGGCTTCTCGAGCCGCAGTCAGTTCCATGCCAGCAACCACTTGAGCATCACCTTGTGCGGCCTCTGCCTTCTCTTCCTTCCTCTGAATGCGAGCTTGGTCCTCCTGTATACGTCGAATTTGCTCCTGTAGGACGACGTAATGCTGCAGAGGATCGTTGTCCGCGGCCTCATCAAGTCCAATGAGGTTCTCTGCTTCTTCCACCGGAGCTTTCCCCGCTTCTCCTTGCGCAGCCGCACAGGACTCTTCACCCTCTGCCTCTGCATCCAACTTTTCCGGCTCTTCATCCAACAAGTCAGCTTCTACAATTTCATCTTCCCGCGACCTCGCTGCCGTGTCCGCTGCTCGCGAGCTAGCCGGACCTGTCAAATTCGGTCGAAACATGTTGGCTTCCTCCATGCGCACAGCAGCAGATACAATTCCCGGGGGCGCCTCATCCTCCTTCAGGTCAACCTGTGCTCGTGCTACATCGATTTCCACATCATGAAACAACGGACAAAGCTGTTGTCGAAGACGAGCGCATTCGAGGTAAAGGGAACGTGGCACCAACAGTGGTTTCGCTCTGGCTACGTCGGTGCGGGATACAGAAAAAATAACCTGCAACTGTTGACCCACGTCCTCCATGCAAGGCGGCAAGGACTTCCCCACGGCTGAAGTTCGCGGCTGCGCTATGAAAGTGGTATTGCCTTGCAAGCCATGTTGCAACTCACACGCATCTCTTCCATGCTTGTGGTTCAACACCACCTTCCTGTAAAGTACCCGAGCTTGTCCAAGAAGCATCCGTGCAGCCGGCAAGTCCCGAAGCTTCTGGTAAAGCGGATGCTCGCGGCCTCCCCACAGGTCATTGGCAAGCGCTCGCTTGGGAAGCGTGGGTTTCCGGTGACACAAGCTGTGACAACACCACCGACAAAGGAACACCGTGCCGTTACTGTCCCCGATGCCAGCGCAAGGCGGATGCCCTTCCACAGCTGTATCCCGGGAACCATCCTCGCGCGCAACCGCAGCTTCACCTTCCGCGTGCGCATCCGCGACGCTAACCTCTGCGCGCGCAACCGCAGACTCTGCCTTTTTCCGCAAAGGTACCCTGCGTGTGTGCAACAGCCACCGGTAGCCAGGGCGATCCGGATGTTGCACCGAACTTGCGTGTAGTTCGGCAACTGGAATCTTCGGCCACCGCTCTGCGTATTTGTCCACTCCCAAAAGCTGTTGAATTTCTTCGGCTGGTCCAAAATAATACAGACCGCGCTTATCTCGAAGCAAGTTGCTCCGCCGACGACCCGCCTGCTCATCTGCCGAACCAGCTTGAGCCTCAGCTGCTTCCTCCTCGTCCATCTCCTCCCGCACCTCTTTCCCCAAAGGCAAAGTGCGAAACATGTAGCACCGGCGCATCCGCTCGGTCCATTCCTTCGTTGCGCACACAGCGCATCCCACCATGGCACGAGGTTCGCGCTCGGGGGCTCGAGGCTCTGCAGTTCTCACTGCTGCTGAAACAGACTCATCCCCTAAGGGTTGGCTGGCTACGCTGACCAGTTGGGCGGTTGCGTTTCCAAGGATGCGTCTTTTGCGGGCCCAAGACATTGGCAAACCATGACAAGGAGCAGCTTCCTCATGCTGCGCATGCCAAAAGACGCGCTTACGGTACTCTGCCCAGTTCACATGCGCCTGGTCCACGTGCGCAGACAGATCTGTCCAATTCACAAATCCATCTCCACACAGTTCACACACTCGAGGAGCTGTCAAAATAGGCAACAACCCTTTTGGCAACTCTGCTCCACCTGCCACACCATACATGGACTCTGCATCGGTTTTGAAAAACGGTGGGAAAGCATAGGTATCCATTCGAGTTGACAATACATACTGGGCAGGCGGACTTTTGAACAGACCACGGCTTTCCGAGACCCATTCCTCTACCTTTGCCTTTCTTTGATCCCGATGCTGCAATATGCCAAACCAGCCCACCCACACCATAGCAGTACCCAAAGATGCCTCCGTCCACAGATCCCGAAGGTCATGCTTCGTCAGAAATGTATCAAAGTCTTGCGCAAGGGCATGTAGTTGCTCCGGCTCTTTCACACCCCAGGCACTCTGAAACCAGGCCGGTTGGTCAGGCATGCTGCATTGCGCATCTTTCAAAGCTGCGACCAACAAATCAAAACTCTCCACTGGTTTGCGGCCATCTACGTCACCTCGCAGCGCCATGATCTCCGCCACCAAAGGTCCATCCAAAAGTGGCAATGCCTCGCGCCGCGCAACCGCAGACGCATTCTGCAACTCCATGGCTGCCATGCGTCGAAGCACGTGCTGTCCATCCCAGTTGGACGGGATGCGCACATCGCGAAAGTCTTTCGCAAAGGGCGTGGCTGTTCTGTGTAAG